TCATTACCCATTCAAACCGTCTCCAGCCATTATTAGTCTCAAAGTGGGTTCCTCGTCATCGAATTTGAATAACTTGTAATTAGTTTGGTTTGTTGTGAATTTCACGTAAATCTACTTGATGGCTATCTGCAGTAGCCGTATCTAATTTAGCAGTGATATATTATAGGGGAAGACAGCTAGTCAACTCTTGGCCTACTCTTTTTACCAAAGAATAGCGGGATTGAACATCAAATTATAAAGCTCCCGCGACTGAAAGGGCGAGCGTGTTCGATGGCGGAAATTCGAACCCACGACCCTCAGATTGCGAATCGAGCACCCTTGTAATTAGACTTGATAAACAAACTACAAGAATTTAACCTATCTAGTAATCTTAGTAGAGATTCCCTTTGGATAATAAACATAATACAGTCTGAAAACAACTAGGTAAAATACTATGGGAGTTCAAGTAAAGCTTTCATTTATATCCTGTTAATAATACTTGTATATTTATTTTGTTTTATTGCATGAAAACCATTATGTGTCATGGTTGTTACTTTTGTGTGTGGACGAAAAACAAAATCGGAAATATGAATTTCTGTGTTGTTTCTTGAGTCACCCTTTTTTCAGCTTAACTCTTTATACATAGCACGTGCTTTTTCTCAACTTGCCCCCCAGTGGCACAGCGGCATGTCTGCAGACTTACAACGCTAGAAACCGGGTTTCGATACCCGTGGTGGGCAGAGCACAGATAGCCCATTGTGTAACTTTGTGCTTAACTTCAAACAAAAGTTTTCTCAACTTATACTTTCTGGCTAGTTTTATAAAATAATGTTTTTTCTTCATTAATTGCTTTATCACTACGCCATCTACCGAAGAATATTAAAACTTCAGAGATCACTGTGGTTTAAGAAAGGTAGTAATGTTGTATGCCAGCATAAAATTAATAGATAGTGCAACACCTTATTCACACCTACTGCTACTTGCAAAGAAATAATTAGTTTCACACTGAACTTTCGATATTGAACAGAGAAATTATATGAATCAGAGATCACAACGATGGGCAGAGCACAAATAGCCCATTGTGTAGTTTTGTGATTGACAACAAACAAGGCCCTTTAGCGCAACTGAAGCTCTCAGTTAGCCTTCTATACGTGCTCTAGTCGTTTAAGACTGAAGTCGCTCACGTAAATCCTTTGTAAAGTACGTAAAAAAGTTATTATTAGAACAAAACATTGCCAAAACAATTGAATGTTTCATCAAGGCGAGCGGGTTTTGAATACTAATTTGTGGTGAGTGAAGGTAGGTTTGAAATGTGTAGATAAGTTTCAGCCTTTTAAACTCTCTCTAGATTATTAATATGATATTTCTTTATAAATGTATTGAAAATATAACTAAATAGATGAATACAAGTATTTAATTAAATTTACGATATTTCTTAAATGATTGTCTCTTTTATGCAGTCGAAATTAAATTACCGAATTTCCCTCTTAGGATACATAATACAGCGGTGTAAAGTGATTGTTTTTTGTTGTTGTTGAGTTAAAGCATTATGTAATATAAAACGAAAATATTTTACGGACTACTTATGCTCTAACCAAAATACATTGTATATCTTATTGTTACGTCTCCGTTTGTTAATTGATTTTTCCGTAACTTCGTTCTGACGAAACTTTAACGACACAAGTCTTTACTTAAT